GAAAATTTATAAATTAACAAGTAGTCGATTTTATTTTCTTGTAAACTACATCCTTAAATTTAAAAAATATAACATTATTCTAAAAAAAACGTTTCTAAGCTGTATTTGCTTTGAATTTATAAGCATATTCCGCCTGAGAGAGAACTAGACTTTTTCTTGAATAACACGAAATGTTGACCAAAGTAAGGTGGAACAACATATTGAGGTGTAGTAGATTAGCTCAAACATTAGCATCGAATACACTGAATTTTAAAACCTTCACAATCCTCTTTATTTTTCGTTTAATAAATTATAAGTACTAACAGTTATAAAAGTCCATTTAAACAACAATTCTGAATTAGATTCATGTTAGGAGAATGGTCACAAAACTGTCTAAAAACTATGGTTTGTGATAAGCAGTTACCATGGTATTCAAATGTAGTATGTGAAAAATAGCACGTGTTTCGTTTCCCTTCTAGTATTGACAGGTGAACAATTTATGTTCACTAAAAAATTTTAAACATATTTACACATACGCCCGTTAGGTTTAACATATAGAAACGCCAGTTCTGAAACGATGCTAACTTGCTATTGTCCTTAGCTATATATCGTCATTCCCCTTTGTTGTTGCTGAGTTCTTCCATGGATATAAACGGATAACTATGTGGTTTAATATCATATTGTTTTAACAGTGAGATCAATTGTGTAAAAGAATTAAGAATGGAGCCTGTTATCTATTTTCACTTATGGAACTCTGGAAGAAATGATCTTGTTATATAACGTTAACTTTCTCAAGCTAGTTCAGATTTTCCTCAGTTTAATCAGAGTTCCTTCTGCCACCAAGAGCTAGCCAGTGTTACTGATTATTGTTATTGATTTGTGCTGTACTTGATTTACATTGATTATTAATAAAGATTATTTTTCACCTTGTCTTTATTTCAACTCAGTCAAAGTCGAAATTCCAGATTTAGCTCTGCATAACATTTTTTGTCACTCCTCGTGTTATTACAGTAACGTATGATATAATCAGTATACTTCAAAATACTCCACACCTCACTCTCATATAGTATTTATTTCAGAGTTTGCCTTTTTTTTTGTTGTTGTTTTAAATTTCTTAATCGAAACATGCTAAATCTGGTCAAAGTCGTATATTATTTCAACGCTAGGTGTAGCAGAATTAGACGTTCCCTCCAGTATGTCACTTCAAAATTAGGGACAGCTAGCGCAGACAACTTTCGAATAGCCTGGATCTCAGTAATTACAACCATATCTTTACCATTATACATAACAGTTTCGTAGCATTGTTTATTTTAACGTCTAGTTCGATGTAAGCTAAATTTACAGCTTGACGTATTTCTTCGGAATTATCACCTGGTTACAACTTTGTGTATTGAGAGTTGTGAACATTCTTGTCGAGACTGCACAACAGTACTTAATTTTAGTACTCACAAACCAGCTTATTAACGTATTGTACAAATACGGTTTGGTTTCATCGAAATTTCGTTGGCTGACTCTCCGTCATTATTGAAACAATCGCATAAAACTCAAGTTTGCGTGCATCCCTAAAGAAGTTGTCCAGCAAAACTATGGTAATAAGAAATTATCCCTAAAGTTATAAAATCGTTAATATTTGTTTCCAATTATATCTTCTAGATTTCATTTAGCACTTCACCAATTAACAATACTAATCAGTAAGTTGTGGTTATATTAAAAAAAAAACAGGTTGATTATACAAAACAAAAACAACAACAAACAAACAAAATTTAAATTGGGGGAGGATTAGAAAACTCAGAAAAATAAGAATATCATTTAATCTACATTCTGAACGAGTTAGTGACATTTAGTCTATAGGATAAAAGAACAAACGAGTATGTCTGCGGACTTACAACGCTAGAATCCGAGTTTCGATACCCGTGGTGGTCAGAGCAAAGATAACCCATTATGTAGCTTTGTGCTTAATTACAAACAAGCCTAGCACATATATGTTTTTATATAATTAAGTATCATATTTAAGTAAGCACAAAATGTTTTACAAGACCGAATGCCCCCCCCCCAGTGGCACAGCGATATGTCTGCGGACTTATACCGCTAGAAATCGGGTTTCGATACCCGTGGTGGGCAGAGCACAGATAACCCATTATGTAGCTTTGTGCTTAATTACAAACAAGCCTAGCACATATATATTTTTATATAATTAAGTATCTTATTTAAGTAAGCACAAAGCCTCACAAGTTTTGTCTTTATTGATTACCCATGTTTGCGGACTTACAACGCTAGAAACCGGGTTTCGATACCCGTGGTGGGCGGAACATAGATAACCCATTGTGTAGCTTTGTGCTTAATAACAAACAAGACGGATTAAATCAAAATGAAGGATAACGTGAATTTTACATACGTGGATGTACTAGATGTTAAGGTAGTGCTACAGTAAGCCTAACTTTTATTATTAGTACGGCTCTTATACTCCATCCTCCCATGCTACCATTTAGATCTTCAGTAGCAGGTCTTAGATAGAATAATACTGTCATCCTTTCATAGTACTGGAAAAAAGAAAATTTACCTCCAAAAATATAAAATATATGTTACATTTTTGTATTTATAATAATTATGTTTTTTCAATAACCAGGTATTAAAACAAGTGATAGGAGTTTCAATGGGAGCTAACTATTCTACTTGTATTGTAAATTTATATCTTTATTTTTATTAGAATAGGCTTATAGAAAATTGTGTAAACCTGAAAATATTTGCTTTAACTTATAGATGATTTAATTAGCATAAACAATCCTGAGATAAATGATTTTATTAACACTATTCATCCGTTAGAATTAGAAATTGAAAATACTTCAATTTCGGATGTAGAAACACATTATTTAGATACAGAAATTTAAAACAAAAATTGATAATTATATCAGTCTAAATGTTTTTAATAAGATAAATAATTTTTATTTTCCAATATACAGCCTGCACTATTTTAATAGTAATGTATCATACTCTTCTGTTATAAGTATTGTAACTTCACAATTACTCAGATTTTGTAAATTTTGTAATAAATTACAATATTTCATTATTAATGTTGAAATATTGATGTACAAATTAGTATTTAATTAATTAAATAAAGAAATATTGAATAAAATGATTAAAATATCTTGTGATAAATATAAAAATGTATTAAATAAATATAAAAAAAGTAAAAATTAAAAAGTATTTTTAGTTTTTAATAAGGTAGTTTAAACAACTTGGCACTATTTTAATGCGGATGAACACCTTATCGCATATAAAGGCTCAGGTAAAGTCTTAAAAATTGTTAGTTACGGTAGACTACAAGTAAACTTAATGGGTGGTTGGGCTTTGATACTAGTATAATTTGTCTACGGTACTACCCATTAACGTTCTAATTTATGACATTATTTCTATAATGGGGGGTTGGAATGCCAACATGAAG